TCAACTTTTCATGCTTGCGTGGCATGAAAATCGGACAAGGTGGAATCCGCCTGGTAATTCCGTTCTGAATGCTCTACGCAGCAGGTGCATAGGGTAAGGTTCGACCATGCGTGATCTTTTAAATCTTTTTGTTTCTTGTTATCTTCGTGCGTTGCTTTTCGTTGTCCTTTGTTTGGAAGGTACGACCTTATACTTAACCGTTCTTCACTCTTCTTTGGCCGCAGCTTGTGCTCAATCGAGACTTCCTCCTTCTGTAGTGGATTCAATCCAATCCCATTCCATCTGCAGGAGTCGACTGCACATAGCAGTACTTTTCAATGCGATTCGAGATGTATTCATTTCAATTTTATTATTATTATTTTTTTCAATTTATTCGATTGAGTTGAACTCCAATTCACACTCGATTCAAACTCAATTCAAACTGAAATCAAATTCAAATCAAACTAAATCCCATCCCATCCTCAATTCAATCCTTAATTCGAACTCATTTCATTTCATCTCAAGTCAATCCAACTCAATGCCAATTCATTTCAATTCAATTCAAGTCGATCAAATATTCAAACCAATTCATTTCAGATGCAAATTTTCAGATTCAGTTCAGGTTCCGCTCAGTTTCATTGAATATTGACTCTATTCGTTTCGCTTCAAGTGAAGTGAATTCACTTGGTTAACTGTGACCATTTCTTCATCCAATCTATTTCGTGCAGCCGCACGCCGGCGCAATGTCACGATACCCGCCGCTCTGCCTCCGTTCTCAATTTTTTCCTGTGCCGCTGTGCGGATGAGTTCGAATCCCCGCTCGTGAAACCTCGAGCGGACGAGTTTTAACAGCTCGAGAATCTTGAACCTCGCGCGGATGAGTTTTAACAGCTCGGGAAACCTCGAGCGGATGGCTTCGAAGTTCGAACCGCAGATGAGTTCGAGCCGCGGATGGGTTCGAACCGCTGGGGAAACCTCGTGCTTATGAAGTTATGGTTTCGATCCGACGGGCCTCAAAACTTTTTCCTGGAACGGATGGGGTTCGAACAGCTCGGGAAACCGCGAGCGCGAGCGGATGAGTTCGAATCGCTCTGGAAACCTCGTGCGGACGAGTTCGAAGCGCTCTGGAAACCTCGTGCGGACGAGTTCGAACCGCTCGGGAAAGCTCGAGCGGATGAGTGGAGTTCGAAGTTCGAACCGCTTGTGCCGAGAAACTTCTTTCTCTTGCACGATTTCTGGCGCTGGCCGATTGCAACCTATTTCCTTTTCACAATTTGAATTTGAGTTTCGCGTGCGGTTTAAACATAAAAAAGGGAAAAAAAAAAAGTTGTTTTAACATATCGGGATCTTTCCAGAAGTTCTGGTTGGTGAGCATAACATGCATATGAAACGGTGCCTTGCGCTCCGATTCACAGTGTGACAATATATATATATATATATATATCGTCATATATATATATCTAAAGAAGATAAGAAATGAATTTATTTCTTCTTTTTTTCGCATTTGCGCTCTGATAAATTTGTGACGATATATATAACAGCCCCTCGTTTGTTGTCCTCTTCTCTCTCTCTGCCTACGGTTTACCGGGCAGTTCAGAACTGCCCGGTAAACCGTAGGCAGAGAGAGAGAAGAGGACAACAAACGAGGGGCTATATATATATATATATATCTATATATATCGTCACATAAATATCAGAGCGCAAAAGCGAAAAAAACAAAGGAAAACAAAAAAGATATCAATTCCTTTTTAATCTTCTTCCTTACAACTCCCCCTGTTCAGAACCTCTTGCGTACAAGGCCGCCCACGTGGATGTAGGTTGAGCGGCGGCTGCCCCCACCCCCGTGTGTCATATCGACCCACTTGCACACAGCCAAAAGGCAAAGAGGCAAAGAAGAGAGGAAGGGAACAGCCAAATAAAACAGAACAGGGGGCAACAAAACAGATCCCAGATGACAACTCCCCCATGCAAGCACCGCCCCTGCACCACACCACAGGCCAAACGACGTGACAAGACCAACCAGGATGTCAAAACATTCTTGTCTGCAAAAAAATCAAAAAAAGCTCCGGTCCACAGTGTATATATATATATATATTTCCCTTTTTTGCGCTCTGATTCACAATGTGACAATATATATATACGACTGCCGCCGTCTGTCYTGAAGGGTGTCCAACATTTCCTCATTGTACACATCCCTATCACCCAGATATACGTTGTCCCTATTGTGCCCAAGGACGCTATCAGAACTGTATGATGCCGCACTGTGATGAACGTCCTGCCGTGTTTTTGACATGTGGACAACACGTCCTCTGTCAGGACTGTTTTGATGGGATGGTTCGTGCTAGCCGTCCTGCAGAATGCTGTGCTGGCGCAGCTCTCCTTGGGCATCCTTGTGAACATCCACATCATCCTCACCGTAGCTGTCCTATCTGCCGAGGTGGGGGCAGGTAAAGAAAAAAAGAAGAAAAGAAAAAGAGAAAAAAAGAAAAAAAGAAAAAAGAAAGAGAAAAAGAAAAAAAGAAAAAAGATAGGTTGATCTGTGGGATGTGTTATTTTGCTTTGTGATAATTGGATTATCTTTCTTTCCCTATCTTTCTGTCCCTGTCAGGTTTGGTTCCCTTCTCCCCTTCTTTACCTCTTTGCCTTTTGGCTGCGTGCAAGTGGGTCCTTGTGACACACGGGGATGGG